CATTAGACATTACGGGTTCCTGATGCACGTCATTTTATTTTTCAGATCAGACTCAAAATTGCTGTCCGGTGGCCATTTTATTTTCATGAATGGGTTTCCAGACCCATATGTCTGACTTGTTTTGACTGATTATGTTCAAATTTTTAATATTCATTATACATCATGTCACAGATATACGGATATATTGGTTTGACGATCCTTTTCAAAGTGGCCTAATGGTGGCTATTTTTGTGCTAAAAAACTCGTTTTATTTTTTAGATCGTATTCTGAATGGCTGACTCGTGGCCATTTTGTTTTAATGAATGGGCTTTTAGAGCCATATCTCTGACATGCTTTGACTGAATATGTTAAAATTTCATATATTCATTATACATATATTCATAATGGCCGATTTTGTTTTAATTAATGCTGTTCCAGAGCAATATCTCTCAATACTCGTTTGACGATCAGATACAAATGTCAATCATTTAAATGTTAAACAATCATCATAATCATATTCCTGACATGTTTATATTCCAGCTATATTACTATAAACAAAACTTTGTCTTAAATTTGATAACTAACGGGGACTGTGCCATGCATGGCTTGTTTATTTAAATTATTATGAAAATAAAAACAATTTATTACAGCTTACGAAATAGAAAATTCAATTATATATGTAGTGTTAAAAGAAAATATACAACACGTAGATTCTAAAATTTTATCTGTCAAATGTGATTACAATTAATCTACCGCTGTTTATTTGATTATCACCTGTACGCCAACTGACTGTGCACGTATTATATCTTCCACAGCCACACGTCAAGCAACTTTAATTACACATTTGACTCAACATGTCTGGAAGAGGGATTCATAAAAGAGCCAAGCGTATCACTCGATCTTCTCGCGCAGGTTTGCAGTTTCCGGTGAGTCGTTTCCATAGATACCTCCGCCAGGGAAATTATGCTAAGCACATTGGTAACGGTGCAGCTATTTACATGGCTGCAGTGCTGGAGTATCTGACAGCTGAAGTTCTGGAGTTGGCTGGTAACGCTACCCGTGACAACAAGAAAGCAAGGATCATTCCTCGTTTTCTCATGTTAGCTGTACGAAAGGATGAAGAACTGAATAAATTGCTGTACGGAGTCACCATATCAAAAGGGGGTGTGGTCCCCAATATTATACCAATCTTGCTGCGAAAGAAGACAAGCAGAAAAGTAAAAAGTAGTGTGTGAGGTGGTCATCACATCGGAATGAAGAGCACTCAGTAGTCTAAATAAAGGAGAAACATCCCACTGAACTATTATGGTACCCTACCTGACTCTCCATACACTCGGTGAATCAATACTGACTGAGATAATCACAATCAGTCGGATATATCATCACAATTATTTTTTTGCTATGGATGCCCGTCTATGGTATGAATTCTAGACTTTAAAGATTACAATATCCTGACATTTTTAACATTATTTTCAAAAGTTCAAATTTATCTTTGTACTGTTGTTAGAGCATTATTATTCTACACGTTATCAGCAAAAACCCATATGCTACATTTAAATCAGAAGAAGTTTTCATTGGCTAAATGAGTGGTTTGGTAATGACTATTACCCATAATTCTCTGTCTCAGTTACAGCTAATTTACATGGAACATAGATCTCATATCATTTTTTCAAAATGCTTTTAATTAGGAACACCATCCAAGATAAAAAAAAAAAAAACCTTATTCTCTAAATGTAGAAGAATCATTGGTGTAATTTTTCCTCATTTTCTGGAATTGTCCAACACATGTTTTTTTATCATAAACAGATTTCATAATTGGTTTATTATCTAATCAATGTGTGCATGTCACATATTAAAACAAACAATATTTTAGAATATAAACAACTTTATTAAACTTTGAAGCTTAGTTTTACAAAGTGATTTTTCAAAAAAAGATTTTATTATTAACAAGGAATCACTTAAAAATCAAATTAATTTTGTCGATAGAAACTATTTAGAGCCAACCACCCCCATCCTAAGGAACCAAGTTTGTTATCAGACATCAATCTTTCAACATTTTCCCTTAATCAGTTGTACCCGGTAGGTAGATATTTATTTCAAATAGTATCAATACATTTTTTGTGTGCAATTCTCTACCAGTGGTACGTATTCCCTAAGAAATAGTGATTGCTAGTGTGGTTTAATGTTTATACTGTATTACCCCGGTTATTTTATATTTAAAAAAAAAACAATCATTCAGAGCTTTCTTAATAGTAGTTGAGCATAACTTGTATAGACATAATAATTTTAGTTTAGCCATATTATATTAGATTATATTATCTTG